ATAAAGGACTTGGACAGAGGGAGAGGAAGTGATGTGACTTCTACCAGAGGCAGGTGTCATTTGAGGAAGCTGAGGGTTGGTGAAGGGGTCCTGGCCACAGTCACTTACCATCAGACACCTCATGTGGGTCAGCGCTGGGCCGGGCTCTCCACGGTGACCCCCCAGATGTCCCTGCTGTCACTCCTTCTACCATGAACCCACAGGAGTTAGGCGATGGGCCAAGGTCATTCTGGGAAGGGGCAGAGCTAAGTTTAATCCCTCAAGCCTGAGTGCTTTTTCATTTTTCACCTTTCTGCCTTGTTCCTCCGCTCCCTGAACCCAGGTGAGGCTGTGAAATCCACATTGCATCTGTTTCATTTGCACTGAACCAATTTGGTTGACCTCCCTCTATTGCTTTGTTATTAGCAATAACTTTTTATTGGTTGTTCTGGGGTTTGAACTCATAACCTCTACCACTTGAGGCTTGCCTCCAGCCCTTTTTGCTTTAGTTATTTTTCAAATAGGGTCTCATTTCTGCTGTTGACTGACTTCCTACTGTGATTCTCTTACCTCTGCCTCCTGAGTAGTTAGGATGAGAGATGTGAACCACCATGCCCGGTTTAGTGGTTGAGATGGGATCTGAAGAACTTTTTGCATGGACTGGCCTCAAACCATGATTCTCCCAATCTCTGCATTCCAAGTAGCTACTGCACGTGGCTGAGCACTATCTTTTTAGAATTAACCTGCTCTGGAAAAAAATCTGTTGAAGAAGTAGATCAAGTAGAATTTTGTGCAATGCTGCAAATGTTCTGTAGCTGCCATCATGTGCTTGAAACGGACTTGACTGAGAACTGGAGCTGAACTTTCAATGTTTACTTTATTTTAATTAAATTTACATAGAAGTTAGGCACACACGGCTGGTGTTCACTGGGACCACACAGGCAGAAGTTACTAATTGGGATGGGATATTAAAAGGACAATCGGGGCATCATACCAGCTACTTGAGGTGGTGATCAAGAGCATTGAGGTTCAAAGCCAGCCCAGGCAAATAGTTAGTTCTTGAGACCCCCATCTCAACGGAAAGAAGCTGAGCGTGGTGATGTGTGCCTGCCATCCCAGCTAGGCAGAGGCATAAATAGGAGAATGATGTCCAGGCTGGCCTGGGGCAAAAAGTGAGAACCTATCTCCAAAATAACCAGAGCAAAAAGGGCTGCAGCGTGGCTCCAGAGGTAGAGCGCCTGCCTTGCAAGAGCAAAGCACTGAGTTCAAACCCCAGTACTGCCTCCCAGAAAAGGGCCAGTGTAAATGATCGTTAATTTTTACTTCCTTTTTTTAGGAACTCCTTATTGGGGAAATTGTCAGGGAGCAGTTTGTGAACTGAAATTTGTGGTGTAATCTTGCTGCCTGGACCAATTACTTTTTCCAAATCAGTTAACACTCGTTTCTATTTCTAGAATGAAGGGAGGTGGTGAGTGTCACCGCAAGTCTGGTTTTACATGTCTCATTAAATGGGTGCCCTGTGTGACATCCTTATCTGCTGCTTCCGTCATTCACTCACACTGGCTTTATGAGATGCATTTTTTTTCTCTTTTCACAATTTTTTAAAAATTTATTTATGGTGGTACTGGGGTTTGAATTCAGGGCCTCGTGTTTGCTGGGCAGGAGCGCTACCACTTGAACACTCTAGCAGCCCTGAATTGTCCCTCTTTCACTTGAAGGTGCTAGAGACAAATCTAAAATATTTATTCTTTGCACCTCCAGGACATATTCCCCAGGCGCTTACCAGTTAATATTTTATAAACCCTGTCAAAATAGGAAAAGAAAGAACACCTTGACTACTGTAATCCAAAAGTCAGGAAAAGACTGGTTACTTGGTAGATGGTTAGTGTGCATATCACCAACTATTTCCTTGGAGGGGGAATTCCTGTTCTGCATACAGGACCAATCAGAATATAGAATTTTGCATATGAAACACACACACACACACACACACACACACACACAGCATTTATCCAGGAATGGCCAAGTTCTTGGCACTCTGGTGTTACCTGATCGCATCAGGTGGAAATGGTATTCAGAGGACAGGCATGAGATGGCACTAATGAAAGTGTGGTCCCTGGGCCAGTGCCTCTGCATCGTCTGGGACTTTATTACTAGCTGTGGCAATTCGAAACCCCTCCCCAAACCTACTAGAGTCAGAAAGTGGGAATGGGGCCCAGCAGTCTGTGTTGTCACAAACCCGCCAGGTGTTTGAGAACCGCTGGCCCAGAGCCAGGAGGATTTTCTCTCCAGTGCTCTTTTGCATGTAAAGCACAAACCATTTCAGTTTAAGGCTGGGATGTAGCCCAGGGCTAGAACACTTGCCTAGCACACGCACTGCCCTGGGTTTAATCTCCAGCACCAAAAAGAAAAGAAAAAACCCAAAATGTATCAGTTTAAATGTACTTTTTCCCTTTAATTTTGATGGGAAATACAAACGTTGAAGGAAAATCTAGTCAGTTGCTTGAAAGAACAAAGCCCATGTAAAACAAGGACTGACCAGGTGTAAAGAGATCACCTTATGATTTAAAAGAAGACTTGTTGCTTCGACAGTGCTTATTTTAAGAAAAATACTAGCTGGGTGTGGTGGTGCATGCCTGCTGTCCTAGTAATGAGGGAAGCATAAATAGGAGGATCGTGGTCAAGGTGGGTCTGAGCGAAAATGTGAGACCCTATCTCAGAAATAACTAAAGCAAGCTGGGCACCCGTGGCTCATGTCTGAATCCTAGCTACTCAGGAGGCAGAGATCAGGAGGATCATGGTTCGAAGCCAGCCTGGGCAAATAGTTCGAGAGACCCTCTCTTGAAAAAACCATCACAAAAAAGGGCTGGCGGAGTGGCTTAAGGTGTAGGCCCTGAGTTCAAACTCCAGTATTCTCCCCCACAAAAAAATTAAAAATAAAGAAAGAAACAAACAAACTGCCCTAGCTTATGGTTCTTTGTTCTAGCAGACCAAACTGACTAAGATATTCCCTCTAGTCTGAGAAATCCCATTTGGAATAGACAGTGAGAGAGACTCTACAATGTGGTGACTTTTCCTTGGAAAGACCTGAGTTCGAATCATAACTCTTCTACTTATTTTCAGCTATGTAGATAAGTTGGACTGACCTCTTTAGCGTTTGTTTCCCCATCAGCAAAATGAAGATTCAGTAAAACTCCACCATAATACAATAAGTAAGGTTCAAATGCCTAAAACGTGGAGTCACATTATTGCACGATTAATGAAATGACCCAAGCCAGCCTCCTGGGCCAACGAGCTTGGCATTCTCTGTGAGTTGCCCTGTAGGAGTCCTGGTTCTTCCTCTGGTTTGGCGCCACCTAATGTCAGCTGGGTGCTCTAGCGTGAATGTCAATGAGGACTTTCTGGATCCTGCCCTACACTGCAACTTTCAGGACAAGTGGCAGCGATGCCAGGGAGTTCCAGGTTCATTGGCGTCTGTTTCATTGGCCAGATCTGGAGAGATTCAGCCTGGAGAAAACGTTTTCTCTACTTCTATGCTTCTCAGAAACCATGTCCTTTGCTGTTTCCTGCCAGGTCCCCTACTCGCCTTAGTGTTCAATATTTTAGTCTGTTTCCAATTGGAAGATGCAGCCAGTCACCAATCAGATTATCTCCAAATGTGGCTTGTCACAGGACTTTTTACATACTTGTCTAAGACGTGGCACTTTTTGGGATGTAACAGAAGCAAAGTGCCCAGAAGCTGGGCACTGGTGGCTCATGCCTATAATCCCATCTACTCAGGAGGAGGCAGAGATCACAAGGATCAAAGTTCAAAACCAGCTGGGGCAAATAGTTTGTGAGACCCTATCTTGAAAAGTACCCAACACAAAACAGGGCTGGTGGAGGGACTCAAGTGGTAGAGTGCCTGCATAGCAAGTGTGAGGCCCTGAGTTCAAACCCCAGTACCACCAAAAAATATATAAATTTTTTAAAAAGTGCCTTAAATAATGAAAACTGCCTTCTCCGTTTACTGGATTCTTGTGGGTCTGTGTTCAGCAAGCACTCGGTCATGCTCGGTGGCCTCCAGGTCGTAGAGTGACAGACTGGTCACTTACTACTTGGTTGTCCTCACTTATGAGATGAAGGCTATAACATTTAATCTTACGTATCATAGTAGGGTTGGGATGCAGCTCAGTGGTAACATGCTTGCCTAGCATGTGAGAGGTCTGGTGGGACTGGGGTTTGAACTCACGGTTTCACACTTGCAAAGCAGGCACTCTACAACTTGAGCCACTCCACCAGTCCATTTTGCTTGATTATTTTGGAGATGGGGGTCTTGCAACTTATTTGTCTGAACTGGCCTTGAACCACGATCCTCCCAGTCTCAGCCTCCCAAGTAGCTAGGATTATAAGTGTGAGCCTCTGGCAGCCAGCCACCCTATTTTCTCATACTCCAAGAAAAGGGTTGGTAAGAGAGGGTTCTCTAGTCAGCGTTTTAGCCTTATGGAAACAAAGGTGACATTTAAGATGATGGGTGCTTTGACATTTTCCCTCCTCTACCCGCCTCATGTATCTCCGAGAAAAAAAAAAATCTATTCCCTTCCAACACTGTTTTCTAAAGATCAGATGAAAGAGGAAATGGAAATAAAGGTTTAACCAGTTTATAGAGCCCTGGAAGGTTGTCACAGCATCCATGAGGACATACCAAAGTGCTGTGGGAGACAAGACACCTGCCAGCACCCACTGTGGTGTGTGCCTCTGCCGTCCTGTCACCCAGGATTCTGCTGGCACCTTTCTAAAAAAAGAAGACCCTAGAAGGTGGACACAGGTGACTCCCAGGTCAGCCCTCAGGGACCTTTCCTTCTGGCCTCAGCCTGCCCTCTGCCCAGGGGTCACAGCATCTTGTAGTATTTGGAGACTCTGATAGGTGGTGTTATGTGTTTCTTTCTTTCTTTTTTTTTTTTTAATGTACCTTTCTTTCCCCTTTCTTTTACTACATTACTAACCCTCCATCCTTTCCACCGCTTTGTGTTTTTCCTTAGGCCGGAAGCTGAGAGGAAAAGCCTTCTATTTTGTCAGTGGCAAAGTGTTTTGTGAGGAAGACTTCCTGGTGAGTGTGTCGCCCAGCCTGTGCAGGGGGACAGAGGCACAAGCTGGATCCTGGACAGGCCTGGCACAGGACAGAGGCTCTCTGCATTGCCCAGTGCTGTTGGGAACCTGGTGACAGAGAGAGGGGCCTGGGTGTCCCTGAGGCACAAGACGAGCTTCGTGCTCTGAAGGAGCTGCAGGGTGCCTCAGTCTGTCCCCTTGTCACTTGTCCTGTCCTGAAAGTCCATCCATGTGCCTGGGACTTCCAGATCTGAGCTCAGACCTGCTGTACCTCTGCAGCCAGCAGCTGCCATCTCACTCCCCACTAGACATGTCCCAGGGATGTCCCTCAGCCCCTTGCATACCACTTGTCTAAAGCAGGAAGGCTTACCTTGCCTTTGGACCTTGTCTCTGAGAACTGTGTCCTTGGGCTGTCCTCCACCCCACTGTGGTCCCCAGCTCTCCCAGAATGCAGCTGCATGTTGAGCCTTGTACTCCCTGTGGCTCAGTGAGGTCCAGCAGAGGCCAGCCTCCACAGGTCAGCCTCGCCTGATCTGAGCCAGGGTTTGTAGCTACAAAGCAGGAAGCTCTCCAGGGTCTGGACCCTGACTTCCTCCCTGCCCCCTCAGCTGCCTTAAAAGCTCCATTCAGTTTTTAGCAGGAAGAGTTGATTCATGGGAACTCTCTTTAGCTAATTACAGATAAGCCAACTCAACTGGCTTTAGGAGAAATGAAATTCATTCCGGCAGTGCCTGGATATTGGCTGTGTTCATGGTGTTGCATTCTCTCAGCCTCAAAGCTGATGGGCACTCTTGCCCTTCTCTCTTTAAAAAGCCTCCACAAACGTCTCCCAAAGTCTCATTGGCTTCACATGCCCTCCTCTGGCCAAAATCATTGGTGCTGGAGGAACACAAGGGTCTGATTGGCCCTGCCCTGCCTTGGAGTCAGCGCCCTGCCCTGGAATCCAGCCTGGAGGCAGCCCCACAGGAATGGGAACACAAGTGGGGGCAGGATCCCAAATGAAAATAAAGAACTGTTATCCCTAGAGAATGGGCAACAGACCCTCCACTTGATTGTAGAGTTGCAAAAAGCTTCCCTTGTTTTTGCTTTCCACCTTTCTTTTCCTTTTGCTTCTTCATCAAGTTGTATTTGTAATATCTAAGCTTCTAGTAGCTTCTGGTATACAGTATCTTAAGCTTTCTGAAGAAAGTTCCTCCTTTTCTTTCCTTTCTTCCTTCTTCCTTCTCTCCCTCCCTCCTTCCTTCCTTTTGTGGGACTGGGGTTTGAACTCAGGGCTTCAAGCTTAAAAAGCCTCATTTATTTCAAGACTCCATGTGTGTGTGTGTAAGGGAGGGAGTAAGGCCAAGCAGATATTTATCCAGCTTCTTTGAAGTTTTTTTGAGATATATCTCAAGTTTCTTTGAAGCTCGCTACAAAAGGCATTAGTTCTCGTTCTCTCTCTCTCTCTCTCTCTCTCTCTCTCTCTCTCTCCCCCCGCTCCCCCAGACCTCTCCAGACTCTATTCCCAAGTCTCCAATTCAGCAGTTCTGGTGTAGGGCCCAACAGTGTGCATTCCTTACAAGTTTCTGGGTAATGTCAGGTAACAAATCTTTGACTTTTCCTTTTTTTTCTTTTTGGCAGTATTAGGTTTGAACTCAGGGCTTCATGCTTGCTAGGCAGGCGCTCTACCACTTGAGCCACTCCACCAAGGTAACAAATCTTTGAGAACCACTGAGATTAGGGATTAAAGATTTTCTTAGGTAGCCTGGCACAGTTGCTAGGTGAGTGGTGTTTGTACGTGTAATGACTTTTGTGGCAGAGGAGAGCCCATGAGCCAACCCACAGCTGGTGATCCTCGAAGAAATGACAGATTCCTGCACAGAGTGACACATATTTCTTAGAAATTCCTTGTAACTCTCTTGACTTGTGGGGAGGTGGCTGGTTCTTCTAGCAGCCTAGTTTAACTTTCTTTTCCCTTCCTCGGCAGTACTCTGGCTTCCAGCAGTCTGCGGACAGGTGTTTTCTCTGTGGCCATTTGATCATGGACATGGTGAGTAGTCAGCTGAACAAGAGTAGACCATCTTGGGAGGAGGAGGCATGCAGGGAAGAAAGAAATGAACAACTGAGCTCAGTGTTTCCTCTCTGGATTTGTGGGGGCAGTTGATTTTATTCGAAGTCCCTGTGCTGTGCAGCTGGTTTCTGTAACAGGACCATGCTGTTGGCTTTTATTGGTATTTGCATCTGTAACCATTCAGACTGCACAATGTGGTAAGTTTGCACATGCTGTCTCCTCCACTCTGCTGGGCCCTTTGGCTCACACTGGCCTCCCTCTGACTTCTCTGTGTGCCTGGTGGTGATCCAACAGAGCGGCCAAACGCTGCCTGCTTTAATGTGGAAATCTCAGCTACCCTGGAGGCAGATGCGAAGCCAGATGGGTATAGTCATTTCTCCACTGTGTTCTGCCCAGCTTGAGCCATACCTAACATGGGGTTGGAGGACTGTCCTTTGGTTCTCAGGCAGCAGAACCAGGCCTAAGTTGTTTACCTCTCATTCCTTGCTCAGCCTCTGGCTCTCTGAGGTTGTCCTGCCTCTTAGTGTTTTGTCTCTTCAGTGAGGACAGTGTTTCCTTATAGAGTTGGGTCGTGAGGTGAATGAATGCAGGGATTGAACTGTTCACCATTGGAAACCAGTCTTCAAAAATTTTAAGAACCAGGCATGTATTGAGCATGGTGGTGCATGCCTATAATCTCAGCATTCAGGAGGCTGAGGTAGAAGGATTGAGAGTTCAGTCAGCCTGGGCTACATAGTGAGTTCAAGGCCAGCATGTAACATGCTGGTCATGGGAAATGGTTTGTAACATACTTTTATTTATTTAATTATTTATTTATTTACAGTACTGGGGCTTGAACTCAGGGACTTCACCTTGAGCCACTCCACCAGTCCTATTTTTGTTTTTCAAGATTGGGTCTTGCAAAGTGTTTGCCTGGGCTGGCTTTGAACTGTGATCCTCCTGATCTCTGCCTCCTGAGTAGCTAGGATTACAGGTGTGAGCCACTGGTGCCTGGCTATAACATACTTTTAATTAGAAAACTCAGTCCCTCTCTGTCATCACAGACCCATTAATTTCATTCTGGAGAGAGAATTGCTGGTCTTTGTTATTTTTTTTTTTTTACCTTTTTATTGAGAAATGATTCAGAGGAAAAGGGGTAAATCTTAAGTGTACAGCTGAGTGAGCTTTTATACGTGCCCCTACCAATTTAACCACCACTGAATTGAGATGCAGGACATTGCCTAAATCTCAGAAAGTCCTTCTTGCCTCTTCCCATTCAAGATCCCCTTTCCTAACGGCCACTGCCATTGGACCCTCCATGGCCATGGACACATTTTGAGGGTCCTGGAAGAACTTCATTTAAGTGGAATCATAGAATGTAAGCTCTTTTGAGTCTGCCTTTCCTCACTTAGAATATATTTTTGGGATTCATCCTCATTGTTCCCTGTCTTGGCAGTTCATTTATTTTTAAGGAAATTGCATTATGTGGAATTGATGGGTGTTTTCCAGTTTTGAGCTATTTATGCACAGGGTTGCTAAGACTTCTGAGCACCCTTGAGCGTGCCTTTGATGGACATGCATACTTTCTGCTGGTTGTGTGCTAACATTTATAAAGCAGCAGTGAACAGAGCCTCCCTATTCATGCAAGTACTTGATGCTATCCAGGCCTTGACAGACCACAGTGGAGCTTAGCTCTGGGAAAGCCATGGCATCACTAGTAGCCAAGACGTCCCCAGGGGAACATGGCCTCTACTCATTTCCCCAGAGGGAAGCAGGCAGGAACCATAGACCTTCACTCCTACCTTCTCCAAGGGCCGCCATATTCTGTAGGGCTCTGTTTCTTTTGTAGAATTTATCTTTCTTTTTAGAGTCCTTCTGGCAAACCCACTGCCTATGAGGTCAATATTGTCCAAACCCCTGGTCTTCTGGTTGTCCCAAGACTTCTTTTGTCTACTGCAGTGTGACAAACTGTTCCAAAACTTAGTGGTTTGAAACAACAGTGAGTTATCACGGTTCTGTGGGGCAGGAATTAGGACAGGGTTCAGCAAGGTGACCCTTTGGCTTTCTGTGGGATTGGCTGTGGTCACTTAGCTTTGTTTATCTGGTGACACAGCTGAACTAGAGCCTCCCAGATGATTGCTTACCCTCCAGGACCCTCCCCCTGTGATCTCCAATTTTATTGTAGCCTAATTCAAGCTTCCTTACAGCAAGAGAGAGGAGCAGAAGTTGCTCGTCTTCTTAAGTCCTCAACTTAGAAATCTCTAGACATCATTTCTTCTTCATTCTGTTGATCAAAGAAAGTCACCGGTCAGTCCTGATTCAAAGATAGGGGTCTATTCTCCATGTCTCAACATGAGGATTGGTCTGTGCATCCAGGAAGGGAAGGAGTTGATTTCGGGAGATAATCTCTACCTTAGGGGCTAATGAGAAACTGAACCTGCAATCTCAGATGCCTTCTTGAGGACTTGAAAACTTTTAGAGAAAGTCTCTAGTAGTGATCCCTGGTATTAAAGGCAGGACTCTTGACTCCTGCCAAGAATTTTAATAATGCACAGACAGATTCTTCCAGATTTTAGAGCACAGCCCCTATTATCCAGCTCTGTACAAATTGTTTGTGTCCTTTATTGTCAGTAGAGGGGTATATTCTGTAAAAAAAAAAAAAGGCATAGTGCCACATGTGAGAATCATTACAGCTGGCCAGGATGCGGCAAAATGGCAACTTACTTTAGGCACAGCGTGGGTTAAATTAAGGATCTCTATCTGCCAAGACTGCATTACTCTTGGAGGAAATGCATTCTGAGGCCTCCGTCGCCAAGTGCGTTTTGGAAGCCTGACGTTGTTCTTCCTCTCTGGCAGCTTGTTACAAATGGGAAGGGCCTCAGAAAACCTGGAGGGAATGAGGAAGTGTGGAGGCTAAGCGTCGGGGGCAGCAGGATGGCACGAGGTCCTCCTCTCGCTCCCTGGCTGGACCTGCAGTTATCTGCCTGAGGCTTCCTATGGAAGAAGCTGGAACATAGCACATCTTTCCCATGGTCTCAAAGTCCTGCCAAGCCCTCCTAAGTTCCAAGTCCCCTTCTTCAGCCCATTCGAAGCTTTTTGTGTGGCTTCCTCTGGCTGCAGATGACCATTCTGTGGTTCTCTGCTTAGGGTGATGCCACTGTTCACTTGTTTTTGCTTTTTCCTGGCACAGATAATTGGACAGAGGGAGATGCTTTCTACTACAAACAGAAAAACCCGGACTCATTTTAGCTTAAACCAATAGTTCTCAAACTGTAGCACATATAAAAATCATCACCAGCTGCGGAGCCGTACACCTGATTTTCTCATTCAGGAAGTCCGGGACGGGGTCAGAGTGTGCAGCAATGATGGACGGTGCACGGTCTTTGCATCATTTTTCCCGTCTCCCCTTTGTCTTTTTTTTTTTTTTTTTTTTTTTTT